CCCCAAAACCCCAAAACCCCAGGAAACTGTATAAAAGGCAGTTTAATTTTAAAATTATAATCAATTTATCAATTATTAAATCAAGAACCATTGATGAGCTAACCAGTATTCAGTCAACCTACTAACCAAAGCTATAGAGGTAAAGTCCATTCTCAAAGGGAAAGATAATCATCCTAAGCAGGCCTCTAGCAACTTCAAAATTCACAAGGCACCTACATCACTCAATCTCAGTCATCTTAGGATAGTCAAGTAATGTCATAATCCTACTCAAGCTAAATTTCAGTGAAAGAAAAAAACTCCATGCCTCAAGCAAACAATGCTCCTCACAAACAAATTCTTTAGCCTTAGAACTTGCAATACTCCAGAAATCATGGTAGTAGCAAAAACAATACATCTGACATAAGCTTCCCAGTTCACAATGGAAGGAATGAGTACCATTCTAATCAGATTGAGGACTTTTCTTTGAATAATTTGAGCTTTTATGAAAGCAAAAAATTAGCCAAGGCTAAATCCTCTGAAGATATTTTACAGTTTTAAGACTTCAAAAGATTTGAAGAGCCTCAGTAGACTGATACCCCATAACTTATGGAGGATCATATGAGATATCTAATTGATTAAGGGGTTTAAGATTCTATGAATTCATTCAAACACCTTCTTAATCTAGATGGGTTAGATATCTAGATACTCTTCAAACTTGCTACTACTGAAAACCCAGCTATAAAGTACTTATATGAAGAGATTGAGAAAACAGATGAAGCTTTTAATGACTTGTTCTTTGAGTCAGCATAGACAATCAATAGACTTACTAATGAGTGGCTATTACTTAAAGAGGAACTTAAAAGTCTGCAATAGCTAGCATTTGGCCAAGATGAGGAGGAATAGAAGCCTCTTTCATCTAAGGAAAAGCAAGAAATAAAAGGCTTAAGAAGAAGAGCAGCAGAAACAGCAATCAAAATGAGTGAGGATCTTATGAGAGAATCTAGAGCTGACAAGATCCTTTTGTTTCTGAAATTAAGATACCCTGACTAATTAAACATCGAGGATGCAAATGAGTGTGAGAATCTGAAAAAACTGTTCGACAAGTACTAGAAAGACTTGTCTGAGTACGACAAGCTTAATCTATATAGAGAAGGGTTGGCAGTCAAAGGATTTTTGAGTGAAGTAGAGAAGATGGGCTATAATTTTAAGCTGAGATAAGCTAGTCTAGAATCAGATACTGTTTATGGAGATGCTCCTGAGCACCTTTTGTTGAAGCCAATGAAGAAATCTGAATTTAACCTTGAAGAAAATAATGCAAAAACTGCCAAGAAGAAGGTCGGAAGACCAAAAAAAGTTCTATCACAATCAACCAGCAATCATAGTATTTAAAAGTTCATTGGTAATTCCCATAACTCTATGTCTAAACCTTCACCATTAACTTCGGCTAAGATGACCACTCTCAACAAAAACTTCAATAGGTCGATAGGCTAAGATACCATTACTGAGATGTCTGAATTCTCAGAAGATTCTTCTTCTTCAAGTTCATCATCATCTTCGAGTGCTTCTTAGAAATCAGACTTTGATGATGAACTTAGCCTTGAATCTATAAGTAATCTTCTTGAAGATGATAATTAGTAGATTACCTTCAATCACACTCAGAAGGGAGCAAAGAAACTAAAATAGAGTCAAGCTGAGATCAAGAATAAGGGTAAGAGAAGATAGTGAAGAGATTTACCATCAATTCTAATGAAATAATATATTTTATTTTATGATTATAACTTAAATGTTTAAATATTAATATTCAATATTTTAGATTGGGGTTTTGGGGTTTTGGGGTTTTGGGG